TCGGAATTTCAATGCTGATTTTCGAGGGAGGCAAGCAGGTAGCTGAGACATGGCCATCACGCCATGGCGCTCGAATTGAGGAAACAGCTTCGAATTTCAATGCTGATTTTTATAGGGTTAAAATTGGTAGCTGAGACATGGCCATCATCACGCCATGGCGCTCGTTTTGTTGAGGAAATTTGTAAATATCAGAATTTCGATGCTGATTTTCGAGGAAACAAATTCTTTTTTCGTTTATATATTTGAGACATGGCTATATACGCCATGGCGCTCGAATTGGATATAATATATCGAATTTCAATGCTGATTTTCGAGGATAAAGCAGGTAGCTGAAACATGGCTATCACGCCATTTTTTCCATAATTGAGTTAAACAGCTCATATATTTCAATGCTGATTTTCGAGGGAGGCAAGAAGGTATTGAGAGATAATGTATCATTTTGATGGCGCTCGAATTGAGGCATTAAACAGCTCAGAATTTTGATTTCTGATTTTCGAAGGAGGCAAATCAGGTCTTGTGAACATGGCTATCACGCCATGGCGCTCGAAATGAGGAAACAGCTCGTAATTCAATGCTGATTTTCCAAAGAGGCAAACATGTAGATAAAAGATTATTTCCATCACGCCATGGCGCTTTGAATTCTGGGAAACAATTCAGAATTTCGATGCTGATTTTCGAGGAGGCAAGCAGAAGGAGCTGAGACATGGCTATCACGCCATATATTTCGAATTGAGGAACAGCTCGGAATTTCAATGCTGAAAAAAAAAACAAGCAGGTAGCTGAAACATGGCTATCACGCCATAACTATGTTTTGAGGATACAGCTCGGAATTTCAATGCTGATTTTCGAGGGAAATGATAAAGCATATAGCTGAGACATTGCCATCACGCCATGGCGCTCATATATTGAGGAAACAGCTCAGAATTTCGATGCTGATTTTCGAGGGTTTTGCATATTTAGCTGAACATTATCCATCACGCCATGGCGCTCGAAAATAGGTAACAATCATTATTTCGATGCTGATTTTCGAGGGAGGCAAGCAGGTAATTAAGACATTATACATCACGCCATGGCAAAACAAATTGAAAAAAGCTCAGGAATTTATTTTTATATATTTTATCTTAATTTTATATATTATACTATATCCTGGACACACACATCACGCCATGTCGCTCGAATTGTATAAACATATTATTCATTTCGATTTTGATTTTCGAGGAGGCAAGCACATAAACATTGAAACATAAAATCACGCCATGGCGCTCGAAATTGATAAACATATCATAATTTCGATGCTGATTTTCGAGGGAGGCAAACAGGTAAATGAGAAAATGAAAATATTTATCAATAAAAGCGCTCGAATTTAGGAAATAAGCTCGGAATTTCGATGCTGATTTTCGAGGGAGGCAAGCAGGTAGCTGAGACATGGCTATCACGCCATGGCGCTCGAATTGAGGAAACAGCTCGGAATTTCAATGCTGATTTTCGAGGGAGGCAAGCAGGTAGCTGAGACATGGCCATCACGCCATGGCGCTCGAATTGAGGAAACAGCTCGGAATTTCGATGCTGATTTTCGAGGGAGGCAAGCAGGTAGCTGAGACATGGCTATCACGCCATTTAAAAATTATAGAAAAAACAGTCAAATTTCGATGCTGATTTTCGAGGGAGGCAAAGCAAAAGGTAGCTGAGACATGGCTATCAAGCCATGGCGCTCGATTTGAAAAACAACTCAAAATTTCGATGCTGATTTTCGAGGGAGGAAATCAGGTAGCTGAGACATGGCTATCATCTAATTTTTTTGGCGCTTTGAAATGAGGAAACATGGGGAGAATTTCGATGCTGATTTTCGAAAAAAAAAAAGGTAGCTGAGATATAAATCAATAATGTCGCTTTTATGATGAAATTCTAAAATTTCGATGCTGATTTTCGAGGGAGGCAAGCAGGTAGCTAGAGACATTGAAAATCACTACTATCAAAAAATGGCGCTCCTCTTTGATAAAACAGCTCAAAATTTCGATGCTGATTTTCGAGGGAGGCAAGCCAGGTAGCTGATATACATGGCTATCACGCCATTCCTTGCTCAAATTTTAAACAGCTTTATTATTTCAATAATTTTCGAGGAGGCAAAAAGGTAGCTGAAGATATGGCCATCACGCCATGGCGCTCGAATTGAGAAACAGCTTTTAATTTGGATGCTGATTTTCAAAGAGAATTCTGAATGCTATACGATTTTTTTTCCTGCAACGGGGGGGGGGGGAAGTAGGAAATGTCATTGCAATGGAATGTAAATGATGTCAACTAATCTTCGAACATAACTTTGTAAAACCTCACTTCTCCTCGTGGTATTATAGGTATTATGGTGTCTGTAATAAGAATGGTAAGTAGGTGTGCGTTGAACAGTTTATAGAAATTGGGGTATTTTTGGGTCAAAAATCGTTCCCTAGCTAAGTTTAAGATAAGACAGATTGAAGTTTTCCCCTTATCCTGCTTCTGGCCTTGTGTCACATTTTTTGTATCTTTCAAAATAAATATCACTTTCCTCAATGGTACCTAGACTCTATGAATTAAATGCAGTATTAGTGTGGCGGCATTTTACAGTTGAAATGGCGATATGTAACCGCAAGTTCTATGTTAACAGTTTCTTCTCGCTTGAGCTTCAAATATTTAAATGCAATGTCAATCGTTATCTTTTATTTTCTTAATACTTGTTCTTTTATTGTCCTCTCTCCTTAATAGTAGTTTTTCTCATATTCTCTAACAGTCAGTAACCCCTTCCGTTCTAGTGGCTTTATTGCCTTTTATCTTCAAAAATTTAAATGCAATGTCAATCGTTATCTTCTGTCTTCTTAATTCCAGTTCTTTTATTGTCCTCTCTCCTTAATAGTAGTTTTTCTCATATTCTCTAACACTAGGTAATCCCTTGCATCCTAGTGGCTTTATTGCCTTTGATGTTCAAAAATTTAAATGCAATGTCAATCGTTATCTTTTGTCTTCTTAATTCTTGTTCTTTTATTGTCCTCTCTCCTTAATAGTAGTTTTTCTCATATTCTTTAACACTCAGTAACCCCTTGCGTCCTAGTGGCTTTATTGCCTTTGATCTTCAAAAATTTAATTGCAGTGTCAATCGTTATCTTTTGTCTTCTTAATTCTTGTTCTTTTATTGTCCTCTCTCTTTAATAGTAGTTTTTCTCATATTCTCTAACACTCAGTAACCTCTTGCGTCCTAGTGGCTTTATTGCCTTGCTTGGAGTGAAATGATTAAAAAAATCACTGAGTGACTCTCAGGCCTTGTATAGGATGAACAATAGTTTAAAAAATCCCATTTTCATTATATTTTAATGGCCGGTCGAATGCTTTACAAAGGGCCATTTCTAGAATCACACAGCATCGAATAACATGAACCCCTATATTCTAGTTCCGTGTCAGAAAACAATTCCTCAAATAAAGATGTTTCAACTTTATTATCTTTTTTTTCATCTCCAAAGTGTAACAAATAAAAATGTCAAGCAGGCGTTGGCTTACTTAAAGGAAATTCGTTTTAACGCCATAAAAATCACACGCGTTTCATCGGCTGCATATTTAAAAGCAACGCATTTTTGCTGTCCATGCAATAAAAAAGCAAGTCTAACGCGGACAATTCCATCCATTTAGGCATTTCCTCCTCGTGTCGGAATCTTGTGATTAGAGATCAATTCCTCGAAAGGCAAATACTGATGCAGGTTGAATTTCGACGAGAATAGAAACAATTTTCATTTGAAGACGCGAGATTTACTCGAAAGATGACTCCATTGTGCCGGTCATGACAATGAAAAAAAAAATCAACCTCCTTCATGGAAGAAGTTTGTAGAATTGAATGTAGCTGAAGAAATCAAACCACATTCCTTAAAAGAGAAGACATTCTCTTCGTTCTGAAGGAGAAGTGTGTTGACGATTATTTGCAGTGTAACTACATCTCTTTAGTCCTTGCTTTCAAACGATCGATGCACAAAACCCAAGACACGTAAACCTTTGACGCAATTTATTTGCAAGGAAATAAATCGACGTCAGGAATTTGCAGACTTCAGAGCTCTCTTGTATCCCACCATTTCCTACTTTTGTCTCAACATGTGGGTCCATAAATTGCAGTAATACACGGCTTGAACGAAAGCAGCTTGTGCTCTCCAAAAGAACAAAAACAAAAAACGATAGCCGAAGGTCAGCCATTAAGCGACGAAAAAGGAAAAATATCGGGTAAGAGCAATAAGGAAAAGGGGGAGAGGTTAATTAAACAGGATACATGTTGTAGCATACCTACGCACGATAATGGGTATGTCCCCATTCACATAAATACAGTAGTAAATACTGTATGTTGGTCTGCAGTTAGAGATTCGTCTTCAGCTGTGCTGGGCAAACACTCTGCCTCCGGGCAGAGAGGATCCCCAGACGAGGCTATATCGAAGGGCAGAGTCTCGTCTCGGCAAACAGCTACCCGATCCCGCTTTATATGGGGAATTTTCGGACGAGCCTACGGGCTCGGATGCCCCATATTAAATTTGGACTTGAGTCACATTTGACCGCGTGGGGCGGTTGGTAGATATCCTGCAGTTGGAGATTCATTGTGGAATTCACTTGACTCACTTCTAGCAGTTGACTACTACTTCTATGCGCTGCTGGCGAATCTTATATGTGTTGTTCTTATCCTATGCATTATCTTTCATTACCAACCTTCCTTTGATTATTCTATTCAGTAAACTTCCCTGGGTTACAACAGTACCCAAAACGACTTTCAGGTTATGTGGTTAATAATGAGATAAATCATACACATAATGGCCCTATTCTCTCAGTAGCAATTCCTGACCACTGACAATACTTTTTTTTCATTATCTTAATTCACAACATGGAGATTAAGTATCTGAAACAAATAAATCAAATAAGAAAAAAAGGCGAAATTCTGAAATGAATTATAATTATTTTCTCTGTCAAAGAGAAATATTTTACTTTTTTGTTATTTAAGAAAATTCCTAAACAATACGGGAAGGTTTGCCAGGAAGAAAAATGCCTAACTGGACAGGGCGGCGGGGGAGATGACGGAGAAAGAAAGAAAGAAAGAAAGAAATTTGAGAAAGAAAAATAAGAAAAGAAAAAAATAATTTAGAGAAATGATGAAAATTAAAGAAAAAGGAAGATGCGGAGAAGAAGTGTAAGAGACTGGGAGTAGTATAATCGTCGAACTTGTATAAAGGGAATTCTGGAGAGAAGAGTAGAAGAGATGTCAGAAAAGAAAGAATTCTTGAACTCAATAAATGACAATTTTGACAATAAAAAACAATATACATGCAAAAGCGATCTGTTTGAATGTTAAAAGGAAACGTTCCAAATGCCATCTAAAGACAAAAAGTGAGAAGACAACATAACAACATAGATAGATAGATAGATAGATGAATAGATGAGATCTAAACAGACTGAGATAGATAGATAGATGAATAGATAGATAGAATAGATAATGAATATGGGCAGAACTGAGATAGATAGATAGATGAATAGATAGATGAACATGATGAACAGATAGATAGATAGATAGATGAATATGATAGATAGATGAATAGATAGATAGATGATATGGGCAGACTGAGATAGATAGATAAATAGATAGATGAATGAATGTAACAGATAGATAGATAGATAGATAGATAGATAGATAGATAGATGAATAGATGAATATGGGCAGACTGAGATAGATAGATAGATATAGATAGATAGATAGATATGAACATGATAGATAGATAGATAGATAGATAGATAGATAGATAGATAGATGAATGAATAGATATGGGCAGAATGGATAGATACTAGATGGATAGATAGATAGATAGATATGAACGGAACGAGATAGATAGATAGATACTGAACAGCGGCACTTAGATAATCTAAGAACAATATAATTTACAACTTTAGGTATATACTAAATCCAGCTTTGTTTGTCACAAGGCTACAAGTATATGTAAGGTATTGAAATTTTCCCAATGATCATGTTGTTAAACAAATATGCAGAACGAAGAATACCTGATAGCTATGATAAATATTCAGACCATATGGTCATTGTAGATTTTACAAGCAAATGAATGAATTGAAAACTAAGGAATTAGTTGACATTGTTATATCGAAGCTCAGTGCTTCCGTACTCTACCTTATTTACAATGTCGTTAATTGTACAGTTGAAAAGTATTCGACGCCGGTGATATACTTCAATACCTGAAAGCATTTCTCATGAGGTTCTCGAAGAAATTCAATTAAAGTATGCGTAATTAAATAAATTGATTTGGGAAGGTGTCGTTGTTTCGTTTTTGTATTTTTGTCTTGTTTTTTGGGGTTTTTTTACCGAAATAAAACTTTCAATGAATATTCCAAAACATTTAAGTAATTGAACGTTTTAGTTGTTGCGATTGCCAAACCCTAGCATCAATTTTATTCTTTTTTTAGGAATGAGAAACTAAGCTTGAATTAGTGATAATAAGATTGGATTTATACGAGTCATGGCTTGAGAGATGTGCTTATCGCCCACCACTGCAAAACAAATGTTATAAATAAAGGATTCGATTCGAAATTTCAATCACCTGGAGAATGCCGGGGCGTACAACGGCCGAAACGTTGTGAATATGGCAACGAAGATGAGGATAACAGTCCGAATATTGTAAATAATGCAGTAATCATAATACCTCATCTCAGAGATATAGAGAGACATGTCATTTGCTTTTTTTTGGGGGGGTATTCTTGTTAAGCTTAGTTCGTGGTGGGGGTTTAATGGATATCAATGCGGAATGTTGGATCGGAGGAACAGAATTCTTATTCCGGGTAAGTATTTTGGGAATCTTCAACACCAACGTCAAAGGCGGTTAACCAAGACCAACACCGACTAACTACAGACATTTACTAACCGATGTCTCAGGAAAATCCTCAATATCAGGTGACCGGAATCATCTCTAACGACCAACTGTGGGACAGAGTCAGACAGGCCACAATCGAGATTGACATCAAGAAACGGAAATGGAGATGAATTGGTCAGACACTCCGCTAGTCTGCTTCAAGTGTCACCCGGCAGGTCCTTGACTGGAATTCACAAGTGAATCGAAAAGTGGGTCGACTAAAACAGACTTGGCTCAGAAATGCGTTGACGCAGAGATGAAATTGCCAGCACGACATGGGCCGAACTGAAGAGGGTCGCCCGGAACCATGTCCGTTGGAGAGGTGTCGTTGCGGCCATATGTTCCCCTAGGAATCAAGAGCCATAATAATAATAAATAAAATGTTGTGTTCCCTTTCTCACAAATGCTCTTGGAACAGGAATTAATTTGTCTCTTCTTCGCCCCTGTGGGTTAAATATCATTCTAGACTGGGTTGACTAGTCTGAAGTGCAAACCCGCCCGAAGTGAAGGAAAAGTGTTAATGTCAAACCGTGGAGAAGGTAAAGGGAAATCATTCCATTATCTTTCCGAAGGTTGCTTGGTAATTCGTCGGCTGTAAAGACAAATCTGTGGAGTGGTGTTCACCTACGTCCCTAAAGGACGTGACATTATAGAAAAATAACTTTATCTGACACAATTTTATATTGACGGTGTTGTATAGCCCTCTCGTGCTGGGGAACTCTTGGGCGGCGGTGTCAACTCACTCATATATTGTGTCTTCTCTCTCGTCTTATCCCGAAATGTTTTGCGGTCCAGAGATGAAAGAACTTCAACACAGGCAATTTTTTAATTAATTATTTTATTAATGTCGACGTATATACCTTCTATTAAGAGTGATCGCTTTCCCTCGCTGAGGAGCCGTTTCAGACACGAAAGAAAACACGTCTACATTACTTGACAGTTTAGAAACATCTCACCGAAAAACATTTCTCTATCTATCTTCTTTCCGATGCTCGTTCAGCCAGTCAAAATCGATTTCCTTATTTTGTCTTCCATCTGTCCTTCAAAGTCAACCCCAGGAAATCCGAGCAGAAATACACTTCCTCTAAAAAAAAATAGTAGTATGCTGATGTATTATTTCACAACGTATCATATTGTAATTTCACTAACAATGGCTTGCGAGTTTAACTATCTAATCGGTACCAAAACTTTTGATCTCTCATTAACTGGTTATTTTTAATTCCAGGACACTTTTCCAAAATGATCATCAATGGAGGCCATCCTAAAGAAAACTAGACAAAGGAAAATGAAATTCCGGACACGATGAAAAGGAGGTAAATATCAATGCCAAGATATAGCACAAAATATAGGACAGTGCGCAAAGAAATTAGGAATAATTGCAGACAGGCTAACGAGGAATGGCTTAACGAAGAATGTGTAGAAATACAAAGAATGAGTATTAAGATAAAGTGGATATGTATAAAAAATAAGGGAAGAAACAGAACAAAAGTCACCCCCACACACACACTTAACAGACTGCATAAAATCCAAGGATGGAACACTGATATTAGAGAAAAGAAAATACTTCAGTGATGGAACGAAAGACGAAAGAGAACAACCGGAAATGCACAGAATATATCAAAGGACAAGAAATATTAAAACCTAAAATGAAATAAGCACTGGCCAAATTGAGCAGAAACAAAGCAACAGGACCACACGGAATTGCAATAGAGATGATGGCAGCCTTAGACGATTTCGATATTGACTGGATTACAGATAATAATAAATTAAATATACAACATTGGTGATATCCCGGAAGATTTAAGTAGATCTATTTTTATAGCACTGCCTAAGAAGCCAGGTGTAAACGAATATAATCTTTATCAATCATCCTAATGAGCCATATAGCAAAACTTCCAAATTCTGATGAATAGAGCGCGCTAGACAAACAATGCGGGTTCCTTAAAGACAGTGGATCAAGAAATGCGATGCCTATGTTTAGAAAGATATCAGAGAGACCAATGCAAATGCAAATGCAAATGCAAATGCAAAAGGATGTATACCTACATTTTATAGATTAGGCGAAAGTATTTGATAAAGTACGTTAGAGATAACTATTGGACCTGCTAAGAAACGTTGACATATTTTGGAAGGCTATTAGAATAATCCAGAAACTATACTAGGTGCAAACCGCCAGCATATGGATAGAAAATGAATTCAGTAAATATACAAAAATAGAAAGTGGTATAAGACAAAGAGATGTCTTCTCACCGGACTCATTCAATCTATTCAATGAAGTCCTACGAGGATTCATTATTGGCGACCACAACCTTAACATGAGATATGCTGATGACACAATGTTGATAGCAGACACAGAAATGAAACCACAAGAACTTCTACAGAAGATATTGAAGACAAGCGAGAAGAAAGGACTGTTTTGGGACGTAATTTCAGAATAGGCGTTTCTTCCCTCTACACCGGTTTCTTGGTATTTATCGTTGTTCTCTTCTCTGTATCCGTTTCGTCGTTCGTTAGTCCTACGACGATTGCACGGATCGTACGACGTACCCCGATAGAGACGCCTCTCATCTCCACGATGGTCTATTTATAATCGTGAGTCACCAATCACTTGCCCTCATAATAAATATACTAGACCTACGGGGCACCTCAGAATGGAGCACTAAAACACCCGGATGTTCCTCCTCTATACCGTCTAACTCGTCGAATATTATATACAGCTGCTAATGAGCCAATTTCTTGTCGGAAAACAAAGAAGAGTGTCTTTTGACGGAACGATGTACTCGCCTTCTCTGAAATTGAAATCCTACATGCCAGACAAAGACGACCTGTTTTTCGTCGAGAATAAGGAAAGTCTTTTTTGTTCTTCTGCCATTAGACTCTCGTTCTGGTTCACTATGCCGGTTACGTCTTCACTTTCCTTGATTTAATGATTACTTTCAACATGTTCAATCATCGGTCTTCCTCCCCTCAGTTTTGTTCTAAGGACAAAAATTTAGTCATTATTACTGTCCCCATCTTTATTATTTCGATTAAATGTTTCGGTCAGTGAATTCCCCGGCCGTATAAATTTCATCTAATAATCTGAAAGACTTTTGAAGAGAATTTATGATTTCCTTCAAAACTATTATTTAATAGGAGTAAATAGGTTTGCCTATCGCCGGGTTTTCAACCCTTCCTTATCTGTTGTTGTTTATTTCTTGTTTACTGTTTAGGATTGGGATTTCAGTTCCTTGTAAAGGTTTCTCATTCTCTTTCACACCTAACAACCCTTGCGTCTTAGTGGCATTATCGCCTTACTTGAAATGATTAAAAAAATTCTTGGTAACGTATGGTTGCAAAATGCTGACACTCAAAGCGTTTAAGCATCGCATGGATGTTAATCTCCTTACATTTTACTTTTCTTTACCTGTCTTTTCTTTTTCTTCTTCTTTTGCTTCTCCTCCACCTCCTTCTTCTTCTTCTTCTTCTTCTTTTTCATCTTCTCTCCACCCTTATTTCGATTTCCCCCTCTTTCTGCATTCCTTCTTTCTTTTCATTTCTCATCCTCTTCTCCTTTTCTTCAACCAGTTATTTTTCTTCTTTGGTTGATCATTTTTTTTCACTTCCTACCGTTACTTCTTTTTCACTCTCTTTGCTACTTTCACGCTCTTTATTTCTTTCACGCTCTTTTTTCTTCTTCTTTTTCTCCACTTTTTCGCTTCTTTCAATCTCTTTGCTTCTTTCACTCTCTTTTTTCTTTCTTTCTCTTTTTTTTTCATTTTCTTCTTTTGCTCTTTCACTCTCTTTACTTCTTTCACGCTTTTTTATGCTTCTTCTTTCCTCACTTTGCTTCTTTCACTCTCTTTTACTTTCTTTCACTCTCTTTCTTTGCTTCTTTCCTCTCTTTTTCTTCTTTCCTCCATTGCTTCTTTCCTCTCTTTTTTCTTCTTTTTTCTTTTCTTCTTTCTTCTTTCTTCTTTCTTTTTCTTTCTTTCCTCTCTTTCTTCTTTCACTCTCTTTTTCTTTCACTCTCTTTTTCTCTTTCTTTCTCTTTTTCTTTCTTCTTTTTCTTCTTTCACTCTTCTTTCTCTTCTTTCACTCTCTTTCTTTTTTTTCACTTCTTTCACTCTTTTGCTTCTTTCACTCTCTTTTTTTCTTCTTTCACTCTTTACTTCTTTTTCTTTCTCTTTCTTCTTTTTCTTTCTCTTTACTTCTTCTTTTTCACTCTCTTTTACTTTTTTTTCTTTTCTTTCTTCTTTCTTCTTTCCTCTTTTTTCTTTTCTCTTTGCTTCTTTTCCTTCTTTTTTTTTTCTTCTTTTTTCTCTTTTCTTTCCTCTCTTTTTTCTTCTTTCACTCTCTT